AAATTCATTTATCAATATAAATTTAGTATCACAATGTTAAATAATTAAATATTTTTCACTTGAATAAAGAAATGGTACCGGTCGCGTTTTTTTTTAAGGAAAACGCTCTGAAAGTGAAATCCTTCAAGGAAAACGCTTCGGAAGCGAAATCCTTTAAGGAAAACGCTTCGGAAGCGAAATCCTTTAAGGAAAACGCTTCAGAAGTGAAATCCTTCAAGGAAAACGCTCCGGAAGCGAAATCCTTCAAGGAAATCACTCTGAAAGCAAAATTCTTCAAGGAAAACGCTCTGAAAGCAAAATTCTTCAAGGAAAACGCTCTGGAAGCAAAATCCTTCAAGGAAAACGCTCTGGAAGCAAATCCTTCAAGAAAAACGCTCTAGAAGCGAAATCCTTCAAGAAAATCACTCCGGAAGCGAAATCCTTCAAGAAAATCGCTCCAAAAGTGAAATCCTTCAAGGAAAATGCTCTGGAAGCGAAATCCTTCAAGAAAATTACTCTGAAAGCGAAATCCTTCAAGGAAATCGCTCCAGAAGCGAAATCCTTTATGAAAAACGCTCCGGAAGTGAAATCCTTTATGAAAAACATTCCGGAAGCGAATCCTTCAAGAAAATCGCTCTGGAAATAAAATCCTTCAAGGAAATCGCTTCAGAAGCGAATTTTTTTAAAGAAAATGCTCCAGAAGCGAATTTCTTAATGGAAAACGCTCTGGAAATGTTCCTCTCAAAGGAAATCATTCTGGAAACGCATCTCTTGATAAGAAACGTTTCTCTCGATGGTTTTTCATTTCTAAATATAAATGCAAGCCGAACGAGCTGGCTTGCAAGCCAGCTTGGCTTGGCTTGGCTTGTCAATTGATCTCCACGATCCGAGCTGAGCCGAGCTGAAAAAAGTGGCTTGGCTCAAGCCGGTGGCAATCCAGCCAAGCTGGCTTATGCGGAGCTTTAACTGCATCACAAAAATATTTAAGATAAACCACACTAAATGTACTATGTTAATTAGATAATAAATCGTACAATTTTTAACAAAATCATGACAATTGGCAAAAATATATTAATATATTATTAGCTTTATTTATTAAATTCACACTTCAATACTGTAATACAACCATGTTTGGGAAATCTGCTAGAAATATTAACTCTGATCAATAAATAAAAAAAATTCACAAGATTTTAACGGGATCCTGGCTGAAATTTGCCAAAAAAAAAATCTGATTCATTAGTTGTAGTAAATCATCTCATTATCTTAGATCAATCAAGCTTTGTATCACAATATATTGGTTAACAATAAAGTAAAAAATAATTACAAGTTCGGGAAATTAATCTGACTATCATACATAATTACATTATCCTTTTATATATTATATCTAATTATTTCTACAATTTAACTTTTCACTGATAACTCATACAATAACTCTACTTTCATGCAATTTACTTTTCTTTAGGCTTACTGAAGGTACGCCAAATGATTTGAGTTGCTTGTCATATGCTGAATTTTTTCTCTTACGATCTCTATGTGCATGTAAATTAGAAAGTGAGATATCATTTGTATGGTCGCAAATTACCTTCAACGTGACCTGAAATGAGATGAACTGATAATGAGATATTATATAATATCAACTATAATGATAATGATATAATACCTTAACATCTGACATGAGCGCATAAAAACCTTCAAAAATTGCCAGCGATTTTTGGGTGTTTGGCATTCTGATCTGAGAAAATCTTCTAATACGTAACACATTTGTGATCTTACAATTCATTCCATACGTTTCGTAAATCCACCCTTAGCATGAGAACAAAAAAATATTAGTCATTAAAATTTTTGAAATTTAATTATTATATTTGTCTACTTACCCTAAAATTGGGTTCTAAAAATATACATGCGATAGAGATCATCTCCAGATGCATTCAAATTAGACTTGAAAAAATTGTACAAAACATCACGCATAGCCACGGAAAGATCAATATGATCCTCTAATATTTTTCTGCAATTGGCGACCAGTAAACCCCACTTTTGAGCCCAATTATTACTTTGAGACTATTAATACTGTTTTTAACGTATCCCAAAAATCACATTTCTGGCTTATTCGTACGTAAAGGACAATCAAATGCTCTTTATTTTTGCGTCGAGAAGAAGCCTAGCAGGCGATTTCACCACTACAAAAATTGGAAGATAATGGGTTAATCAAATGAAGATCAGACTGTATTCCTATCTATACTTACCAGGAACAAAAGTATTGCAATCTTTTATTTTTTCAATAATTTTTTATTTTTTACAGAAACATACAATTTTTTTTTATTTTTTGAAAACTGACATTAATATTTAGTATGTCCTCTATTGACATCGATTACAGCCTGAATTCTATTTGGCATTGATCACACTAAGTTTTAGTACTCTTTTTACGATATTGCATCTCACGCTTCTTTTACCACCTTTTCAAGCTCAGAAATGCTTAAAGGTTAAGGATTGCATTTTCGAATTTCTACCTCAACTATAGATCACATATTCTCAATTGGGTTAAGATCAGGACTTTGAGCAGGCTATGGAAGTAAATCTACCTTTTGAGAAAGCAAAAA